GTTTTCACATATAATGATTATATCATCAACATATCTCTGATGAGATCGTCAACTATGTTTTCAATATGTGACATGCATACATCGGCTAGCAAAGATCCTAATGGACTACCCATCGTGACATCATCAATCTGTCAAAAGTATTCACTCTCGAATGTCCACTGAACTTTGTCAGTACATAATAATGATAATAATAATAATAATAATAATAATAATAATAATAATAATAGTAATAACAATAATAAATCTTTTGAAAAATTAAGAGGAATAAGGAATATAAGACTATTAAGAGAAATATAGTCCTATAAAATTCAATTGTTCTTACCAGCTGTATATCAGTTAATTAGGTATTTACATCGAAGGAGGACATAATCTTATCCTTGATATGAATACCATTTAAACAGTCAATAAGGTCAAGCGTATCTTTCTAGGAGGACTTAATTAGCTTCTGACAGGACTCAAAAGCTTTGCCAACCATTTGGCTAAATTGTCTGGGTGATCGACGGGGTAGACAATATTGGGCGGATTATCAGGTTTATGGGTTTTAGGTAACCCATATGTATGTGGATGTTCATATCCTATAGGTTTTAGACGATTAACTTCATCTTTATTGATTAAATTCATGATGAGCATTTCCGCCAGTTTACGGATGACCCTTCCACTCAATTTATTCATTATTTTAGAAGGCATATCTCACATAAATTTGCTTTCATCACTAAGAGTGAATAAAATCTTACTATTGTTATCAGGCCTGTTCATAACGACCACACACAATCCTTTATCGGGTTTTAGTATAACAATATTAGAGTTATTTCGTCATCCTTTGAGTGCTTTGAAATGCTCATACGTAGAGATGCCTTTTTTATCTTGGATCAGCATCATGAAACCGATGAGCGATATCTACTAATTTGCCTGCTAGCCAGTTCTGATTGTTTGGAAAAGTTTCCTATTGACTTCATTGACTTTTCGTAAATTTTCATAACAATAGTTTGACAAGTCCATGTGCGATCAGACTGTTATATATATATATATATATATATATATACATATATATATATATATATATATATATATATATATATATATATATATATATATATATATATATATATATAACAGTCTGATCGCACATGGACTTGTCAAACTATTGTTATGAAAATATATATATATATATATATATATATATATATAATATGTTAGGGATTCCATCGCGTCGCAGCATCGCTAAGAAGACAACTATGAGTAAAACCCTGTAACAGCTTCATGTCTTCTACTTTCAATGGCCGTGTATCTCAGCCGTACAACAAAACAGAACGAACTGTAGCGCAGTATACTCGTCCTGTGATAGATATTCGGATATCTCTTCAATTGGCGCCAGAAATGACACACGTTGGCAAGTTTTGAACGGCCCTTCTATATCCGAGCTGAGATTTCGTCAGCAACCAGGCCGTTTGGGTCGACCGATAGCTGTTACTTTGACGTGGTGGTTAGGTTTGTTGTGAACCACAATGATTTAACAAGCTACGCTGGTGGAACGCTTGTTCCCTCGAGATCCTACCATACCGCAAAGGTCTGTTGGACAGTGGTTACCGTTATAGTGCAAACTGCTACGCTATGCTGGAGGTCTGAGGGTGAAGTCATACTTCTGACTGGACAGGGGTGTGACAGCAGTAAAATGTTCCCCTTGAATGATTAGCAGTGCCACGCTGGTTTTGCCTTCCTTATGGGAATCGGATGGAAGGTTAGAAAAGGTCGGTCCCAAAAGTAGCACACTATTACCCCTACCTTACGGTATGCCGATGCCTGAGAGAGAGATTCATAGTAAAATTCGAAACGAAAAATTCAAAATCTCAAATTATCAAAAACGCCGTGTATAACCAGCCCTAAGCAGATGCTCCTTGGGCTCTGAGGTCACACAATGTGGCTACTTCTTTTAGGTACCTCAAGGAAAACTAGCCTTCTATGGTGTGGGCAGCCAAAAAGTGTCAACCGCCCGCATGATTCCAGCAGTACACAAGCAAGTTACCCCATATATAAGTTAGTAGTAATCAGAAAACAAAGTGTAATAGAACATAATGAGCAAAACGCAATAGATTAAAACTGGTATTCAGTGTTAGTTGAAAATCCAAGAATAGAAAACGATCTGACCAAACAAGTTGAAGGTTAAGAAACCAGGTTACTACAGTAGTTGATGATAGACGGTAGATTCCTTTCGAACACAAATTTGGTTTCAGGTGTTTGGTTGCAATTACTTCGGCGAAGCGCAGGAAGTTTGAACGATTATATTTACTGACTACTTTAAACGATTTGAAAGGACCTTAGTAATTGCACTATTGAGAGTACTTGCTCCTCTGAATCGTAGGGCTCTTCGGGACATGTTCAAAATGTCGAAGAAAAGCTCCTATTTATGCTCTCCTAACGTAACTGTTCACGCAAATATACATGAACTGATATATACGGTTGAAAGTGGCATATGAGGGTTACCTGTCAACTGTTGATTGTACCAGTGAGGGAAAAGTAAGAAATAACAGAATTAGCTTTGTTACACGGTACATCCTAGTCAGTGCAGTGTGGTCTTAGAAACGAAACTAAACGCATTCACCCACTTTGTGCATTAGGCAATGAACCGCACCTATTGTATGGGAGCTACTGGTGACACTCCCTGGCTGCCGAAACTTCGGCAGGTGGAGCGGGATTAGAACCTGTGACCCACTGGTTGGAAGGCGACTCCCTAAACCACTGAGCCACAGCTCTTCGGTTTACCATCATCCCTCTGAAGTCAAGGTGAAGATCGGCTTCTTACTCTTCGCTGTTTTCTCAATTTTACTGCATTTTCTTCTACCGTATTTGTTGATGAAGCCATCCGTTTTCTTTATGATAGGTCTCAAGAAGCCATAGTTCCTTTTCAAGTTTATCCGGTGAGCATATTCTTCGTGCTCTACAGAACAGCGTCTAAAGTGGTACTCGCTTGCATTTGATTACATAGGAAATAATCAAATGAGGTTAAAGACCATTCTAAATGTTTGTTATGAACATATCTTTGATTTCAAGTGAATATTCATCATGGGGTGATATCAGTTGAAGAACTATTGGAAACCTCATCCGAGTACGGAGTTCTCCACGAACCTCCAAACTGAATTACTGTATAGTGCGCATTAGTGACTTGGTGATAGATGAGATATCCCGAAATTCTAATGAGAAGTCGTGACTGGTGCGGTAAACCAAGTCGGACGTGCAGATAGCTACTCAACAAAGGTATTAAATTAAGGTCACGCTTTATCACAAAATGACAGAACTAGAAAAATGTGAGTCATCAGATTCTGAACCAGTGGGCCACCGGTAACGTGTTGGACGCGAAATCTGAAGGTACTGGGTCCAATCTCTGACGGGACTATGGGTGTGTATTGCTGAAGAGTCTTTATATTGACACTAACACTGACAAAACCAATGCAGAATCTAGCACACAAGGTGCATCACCTCAAGTTGTCATACTTAAGCGTAGTACACAAATAACACAGGCGGATAGAAAAAGAGTGATATCAAAGTAGGTAAAGTTATGTGAGAGAAAAAGCAGTCTGAAGATGAAGGTTAGTGCGAATATTCATGCTTTAGAAGAGGTCAAGGAGTGAACATATCTGCGCTGTTATGACATATTTCCAGCCATATCACTAATAGTATTCAACCACTGATTCCTTTCGTCCTGAGTATCCCAACCGAGTAGTCTACATTCCCTCCACACGGCTTAGAACGACAGTAAGAGACTTCATGGAGTGATGCCACGTCATGAACTGGTCACCCTGAACCCTCTTCCAACCTAATCCAACTTCCCTTAGAATGTATGGTATGTCGAGGTAGAAGGTGGCTCGGCCTGCACAGCACATATCTAAGATTTCTCAGTCGACTAAGGTTCACAACTTTATTAATCAACTTGCCTGTCTTGTCTAGTACCCTTCATCTGACTTCAACATTGCTCACACATTGATTTCATCACACGGGAGCGATGCTACGAATCCATCTTTGATAAAAACACTATATTAGGACAAAACAGTTATCCAGTGCTCCTAACTGATATCGGTTGGTGATGAATACCAACTTGAAATAAACATTAATTAAAATTAGTGTTGTTGCTTGTATTATCCCGTCGTTGAGTGGACCGAGTAGATCGGTCTTTATTGGCATATTGGTTCCTGTGCGGATACCTGTGTTTCTGCGAGGCAGGTATATCCAGGTAACGAGTCTCAAATAGAACGAAATGGGTGCCCTGGATTCTGAGGCTTGCTACTATCCATCATTAATATCTATTTAAAATGTACTAAATAAATACTTAAGATCATACATTAAACTTATAGATACGTGCTTCTTAATGGACAGATTAATTTTCCTTGTTATTTAGATTTTATAACAGTGTAATTTTAATATCAATAGACAATATGGTAATTATTACCTTCTATAGGGTAAAATTTATTTGGAAGAAATAAGTGTAGGTAACTAATCAATCAAACAAGATTAAATCAACACTACAATTAGGAAGATTTACTATTAGAATTAATGTTATTTGAGGTGAATAAGGATTTTATGTTTAAGGTAGTATTCATCATGAATTGACATCATTTGGAGAACCATCGGAAAACGTGGGGGTAATGGATAGACGTTCTGTCCTAGTATAGTACACTTCACCAATACACACCCACAACCTGGCTAGGGACCAAACTCAAAACCTTTATGTTTCACGGTGAATGTGTCAACCATTCAACCACCGGGTTGGAGTTCAATGTTCTACAGTTTCCTACTTCTGTCAATTTGCGATATAGCGCGGATCGTGGATGTGTACTGCTGAAGAGTCCCATATTAGGACGAAACAGTTATCGAGTGCTCTCAGGTTTTCAATGGTTCTCTAACTGATGTCAGTCCATGGTGAATACTACCTTAGATATTAGAATCAGCTTTTTTACAGTCTTTTACACTCTATACACAGTGCTAGAGAAAACAAATTATTAACCTACCTCACCGGATGCACGTGGAATATTTTGTTGATAAAGAGGTAGAGTATGCGTAAAATGCTGACTAACTGAGTCAGCTGTAGACACACACACACCTGTATAACCATTGATATGAGAAGCAGAAAAAGTAAGATTTGTGGAATCTTGGTCATTTGAAATGTTTCTTTCTAGAGCTGAAGTTGAAGAATCAATAAGTGATTCACCATTTTCTTGAATACGTTCAGTAGCTAGATAGGTTGGACCACTACTGCCTCCACCAACCCCATTACATACAGCAATTCCAGTATCATTCCCTCCAGTTGTTTGATGACGTGTAATACCGATAAGACGATCTAGTGTTTTTAATGAAACTGCATCTTCACTCCAACCAGAAAGACTAATGCTAGTAGCATCTACTAATACTTTACCACTGTTATTGCATGAGTTTTGATGACCACGAGGTTGGCTAACGCTATCCAAAGTGCCGAGAGAATCAGCAGATGGCTAAAAATGAAAGAAAGAATAAGGGTTATGCGTAAGTTATTTTCACTGCGTCCTGTTTTCATTTTCGAAAAAGCTCCTACCACTTCTTATTTCTTTATCTCTCAGTTTGGTACCACCTACCTCGACATTGCTGACATGAAGTGTGGTGACTCGGACTGATGCGCGGTACTGCCATATTCAACAATGAGGCTGACTGACTGATTATGGATGAGTTCTTACCATTTCAATCAGGGTTTAGTTGAACTGCGTTATAGGGGGATTCGATTTCGTTTACTATTGATTGTGACAACTAACCCATCATTATAGAACTGGTGCGGAATCACGCTCCTGTCCGCTCAAAGCAAGCAAAATATTAAGCCGCATCATCCTGGAGAGACTAAAACATGCACTGGATTCAAAATTACGACCGGAACAGGCTGACTGACTGGTTTCAGGAAGAACAAATCATATGAGGATCAAATCGCAACGCTGCGCTATACATCATCATAGAACAGAGTATAGAGTGGCAGTCAACTGGATCTCTACCTCAACTTCATCCACTTTGAAAAGGCTTTTGACAGCGGCAACCGAGAAGTAATTTGGCAGGCAACTGCTTCAGCACTACAGGATACCACAAACCGTTATCACTGTTTCAACTACAGGCGGCGCAGGCATAGATGAGGATGTCAAAGTCAGAGTCGGAAAAGCGAGACAGGCGTTCATTAGCCTGAAACCAGTGTGGAGATCTTCTGCACTCAGCATGTGGAGCAAGATCCGGATTTTCAACACCAACGTCAAGTCAGTGCTTCCGCGTGATGGTTTAGAGACTTGGCGCGTTACGAAAGGGATTTCCAACAAACTAGACATTCATCAACAACTGCCTACACTGGCTCGATACTGAAGATCAGATGGCCAGAATAATAAGAATAAGTAACAAGGAACTCTGGCTGGTGATGAACTAACCAAGAACTTGTCGCTGAACAAATACGCACTGTGAGGAAGCGGAGATGGATTGGGCATACACTGAGAAGGCCGACTGGGGACATCACGCGTCAGGCCAGTTACTCGAGTGGAACCCGCATGGGAAGCAACGAGTTGAGCGTCCGAAGTGAGGGTGACATGGAGGAGATCGCACGAGGAGGAAATGAGAGCTTGTGGGCTGTCGTGGAGCCAGGTTCAAAAGATTTCAGAGAACAGAGCGCATCGGAGACGCGCTACTGAATCCCTATGTTCCATTAGGAACCCAAGGAACAAATAATAATAATATATCCCGTCATTATAACTGAAGTCCCATACTCTGTCAAGAAGGAAGTACTAAAAATGTTTTCGGCTGTAAATAGTTGAATAAGATAACGTGAAAGTGAATTATTTTTCAAGAACTATTCATTTGCTAACATGTCTTTTTAAAAACAAACAAACTTAACTTGATAATGATGTTGCTTGTATTATCCTGTCGGTGATTGGATCGAATTTTAGTGAAAACATTACTAAGTGGAATGGAAGTACATTCAGCCAACGCGTCTCAAATAAGATGAAACCCATATTCTGGATTCCACTGTTAGGCACGATACTGACTACATTTACTCTTTATCCAACGTAATTTACATGAATCAGTTTTTGTGTGTTGTAGCGGAATTCGGTTTGTTTAGTTTCACAGGACATAGATAACCACTACAATTTTTAGAAATGTGTGTGCATATTGTCAGTAACTATTGAAAAGTGAACGGTGATCACCGGAAACTCAGTGGTTGCTGGTTTAAATCTCACCGCGGTCCAAATTTTTATTTCACTTCCAATCATCACCTAGTATCAATAATAAAAAGTCTTTCAAACCACGGTTATCTCAAATAGTCAAGATGATAATTAGTGATTTCTTGAACTTATCTACTCTGAAGATAAATTCACAAATTAAGGCCGCATTTAAATTTCCTTTGACTGATAAAGAGAGAATTATTTTATGGTGAAAAATGAGCACTGAACTCTGAAATGAACTGGGGAATATTTTGTCACAGTGTTCCACAAAATTCACATTGGTTTTCTAAAAGATATCATGAGCTTATGTGTATGTATGTATGTATGTATGTATGTATGTATGTATGTATGTATGTATGTATGTATGTATGTATGTATGTATGTATGTATGTATGTATGTATGTATGTATGTATGTATGTATGTATGTATGTATGTATGTATGTATGTATGTATGTATGTATGTATGTATGTATGTATGTATGTATGTATGTATGTATGTATGTATGTATGTATGTATGTATGTATGTATGTATGTATGTATGTATGTATGTATGTATGTATGTATGTATGTATGTATGTATGTATGTATGTATGTATGTATGTATGTATGTATGTATGTAATGTATGTATGTATGTATGTGGGTGTTTGTGGATTACTGCTAGTCAGTAAAAAAGTACAGTAGACTATCTAGCCCGCTGGCTTGAATATATGAGTACTACACATGAGTACATACTACTACTACTACTACTACTATTTATTGATATACTGGTAATTCTCCGTTGTTTTACTGGATCGAACTGTTCGATCTCTATTAGCATATGAGCTCCTATGCAGATGCCTCGATGTTGCCTGGATGTTAATCATGATAATTTGCTCGGTCGTGGCTAGCAGAAGAATGCAGGACGCATGTTTCGTCCTATTTTGGACTCGTCAGCTGGTTGTATTTGCACCCAGTGAGTAATGTTCCCACTGAGACTCGAACCTATCGCTTCAAACGTCAAGGCGTTATCCACTATACCACAGTAGCACGATAACCACTTCTTGTACAAGGGGTATTAGTTATTACTATTTGTTGATATACATGTAATTCTCTCATCCAATAAAACAACGGAGAATTATAAATATATCAATAAATAGTAATAACTAATACCTCTTGTACAAGAAGTGGCTACTGTGCCCTAGTGGATAACGTTTTGGCGTTTGAAGCGATAAGTACGAGGTTCAAGTCCCAGTGGGAACAAAACCACTCACTGGGGTGCAGGTACATCCATCTGATGAGCTCTAAATAGGACGAAAAGTGAGTCCTGTATTCTTCTGCTATCCACAACTAAATTATCATAAGGAGTATATACTTTTAGAAGTAGATAAAGAAAGTCAGACATTTTTTCACTTGGTCAAACTTGACTAGATGAAGTTACACTGGAGGTCTTCATATGACACTTTTATTCATAAATGCAATAGGAATAAGGACACGTTTCATTTCCGCAAAAATTTAATTAACAGGCTATGAGTGATTGACAAATCAACGTAGAATCTCACATACAACTCCATCATTTCAAGTTGTCACACTTCACACTAGTACACAAAGAACAGGTGGATAGAAAATGACTGATATCCAAGTAGAGAAAGTTGTGTGAAAGAATAAACAAGCTGAAGATAATGGTCAATGAAAACACTCAAGCTTCACAATATGTCAAAGAGTGAATATATCTGCGCCATTGTAACCAACTTTCAGTCAAGTTACCAACAGTCTTCAGCCACTGATTCCTCTTGTCTCGGGACCTCAACCACGTAGTCTACATCTCCCTACATAACTCAAACCAACAGCCAAGAACTTCATTAATTAGTGCTAGGTCATGGTCTAGTCACCATGAACCCTCTTCCAACCTAATCCAACTTCCCCTAGCATGCATGGTATGTCAAGGTAGGCATTGGCTTGGCATGTGCAGTAATTACAAATCCCATGTTGATACAGACCGATTAGTTATCAATATTGATTTAAGGTTGGAATCCATCATGGACTGACATTAGTTGGAGGAACACTGGGAACCCGGGAACACTGGACAGCTATTTCGTCCTAGTATGGCACAATGGCAACGTGCTGGTCACGGGACCTGAAGGTCCTGGGTTCGATCCCTGGCAGGGTCGCACTCCTGAGGAGTCCCACACTAGGATGAAACAGCTATCCAGTGCTCCCAGGTTCCCAAAGTTCTTCCAACCAATGTCAGTCCATGATGAGTTCCAACCTAAAACCAAATAGTAAATCTCCAGATAGGATTATCAATATTGGTAGTATGATAAGCATCATACAGGATAGGCCATTGTGCTGAAATACCAGTGGATATATTAAACAGGAGTTAAGAAAGCTACAAAGCCAATAACTCAAAAGTGTAATTTAAGAAGAATCTTGAAATCAATTAATGAAACTACATTTCTCCTTTGAAATGTAATCAGAATTAATAATAATCAAGGATTGAAGACAGTTGGAGTTTGTTTGCTGTTTTGTATTACTGTAGTCGTTATAACGATAGCGATCGATGCTTGTTTGACAAATGACGGGTAAGTTCAAATGAACCATTCATAATAAACTAAATTATACTTCAAAATAAATGTGTATTTATTGACAAACAATAGATGCATGTTCATACACACAGAATGAATACGTGTTGCTATATATATATATATATATATATATATATATATATATATATATATATATATATATATATATAATGACAAAATGATGATTTTTATAATCGATAAGCTTAGTAACAAATACTATTGCACAAGTGGATTACTTTCGTTTGATACATGAAATCCTGAAATGATATTCGTGAAACTATTCACACAAATAATAAGCCAAACTATTAGCAAAACAATGTTATTACCTAACCACTCATCTTTATACTTTTTCAAATGACAATCCAGTCACTTCAGTCAGTCCGTTTGTTAGTGTCGTATGGCTTCCAGGTTTCCATCCTTTATACTTAATCACTGATTATCTTTATGCTACATGTTACTAACAGTTTTTTCTAAACGTATAAACGTCGTTTCTGGTATGCTTAGCTTGAAGTTAATTTTTATGTCTGGTCTAAATATCCTTACCTATATTGACTAAGTTTGAATAATTATGATTCTACACCTTGTCTCCTCCAACAAGCTTTAAAGAACATCTTTTCGAAAGTAGCAACAGTAGATGGTAAGAAAATTGGGTGCATACCTGCTACATACACCTAACTTTGTATAACTTTTGCCTTATGTTCGTCT